GTTGCCGCGGCTGCCCCCCCTCCCCCCTGCCAATGCAGGGGACACGGGTTCGTGCCCTGGTCAGGGAAGATCGCACGTGCCGTGGAGCGGCTGGGCCCGTGAGCCATGGCCGCTGGGCCTGCACATGCGGAGCCTGTGCTCCGCGGCGGGAGAGGCCACAACCAGTGAGAGGCCCACGTACCGAAAAAAAAAAATAAATTAAAAAAAATAAGAGTATACATCGTTGTCTAGTTCCTAAATTCAATGGGAAAGCCTTCAAGTGTCATGGTGCTGCTTCTGAGGCTGAGATAGATATATTTCACAAAGTTAAGAAAAAAAGTTTCTACTTTTGAGTATTATTATAAAGAATTTTTTTTTTTTTTTTTTTTTGCGGTACGCGGGCCTCTCACTGCTGTGGCCTCTCGCGTTGCGGAACACAGGCTCCGGATGCGCAGGCTCAGCGGCCATGGCTCACGGGCGCAGCCGCTCCGCGGCATGTGGGATCTTCCCGGACCGGGGCACGAACCCGTGTCCCCTGCATCGGCGGGTGGACTCTCAACCACTGCGCCACCAGGGAAGCCCTATTATAAAGAATGTTTATTAAACTTTTCTGAAATGCATTTCCAGTGCATAGGGAGATAATTACGATTTGCGCCTTTTAATTTTTAATGTAACAGAATCTGTATTTTCTACTATTGAACCATATTTGAATCAGTAGACTAAATCATCCCTGGTTCACGCTCTACTTTGATTATGTCAGTCTATTTGGGGGAGGGTTAAATTTATAAGTGAGATTTGTCTCTTTTTGTTTTTAATTTTGACTAGGTTTTGGTATCAAAATATTTTAAAGGAATTTGAAACATTCATTCTTTATAAGTTCTGAAACAATTTACATGGCAATGGATTTGGAGGCCCAGGCCTGAACTTCCTGCCCCCAACAGGGCCTCCCACTTAATCCTCACCTCCTGTCTCTCTTCACCATATGCCAGGTTTACAGTCAGGTTCAACAGCCTTGCCCACAGATTTTTGCCAAACCATCCCCTTGGCTGTAGTTTCATCAGATAATAGGTAAAGAGAGTAGGAATATCATTCATCCATTCATGCATATCCCTAATTAGATGGTGAGGCATATGGCTACCTTAAGAGAGTCATAGTTACACCCATCAATTTACCTGAGCCTCAGTGAATTTCTCCATTTTGACATTCAAAGCCCTGGGCAAAAATCACGTCACCACCTGCCACAGGACTTTGTACAAATTAACTTTCAATATTTCATAACTGAAAACTGAAAGATATTACAATTTGTGCACAAAACTGTGGAGTCTAAAATCCAGTCAGTCTCCCAGACCACACGATTGTGTTAGCAGACAGAATACTCTAAACTTCCAAATATCGAAACCCTCTGAAGTGTTCAGATATGCCCCTTCATCAGAAGTTTACTCTCTCCAGTACCTACTCTATTGTAAAAATAAATAATAAAATTCTGTTCCTCCTAATGACAATGTAGTACTCTGAAATTCCTGTTTAGAATACCCTTTAAAGAA